AGGGAGGGGAGGCGATGCTGCGCGGGCGCCCGGGGGACCAGATCGCGGGCGGTGAGTGAACCCGGGCACCAAGAGTGGGAGCAAACTCGCAGCTCTGCCCCTTCCATGCTGCCCCAGCGCCGCTGCGCAGGGAGGCGGGTGGAGGAGGAGAGGGAAGGGTTACCCGGCACGGCTGCCTGTTAAAGAGAAATAGCTCCGCTGGCTCTGGAGGATGAGCAGAAGGAGCTATTGCAGATAAGCACCGGCTTGTTGAGGATGTGAGAGCGGGCTCGCTGCTGGCGCAGGAGCCGGAGCGGCCGCCGATGGTCGCCAGCCCCCCGAGCCCCCCGGCAAGCCCCGTGCACGCTCGGCCTCTCGCCTTTGCTGGGTTTCGATGACCATCGGCAGCAGCATGAGCAGCGGGTACTGTAGCTTGGATGAAGACCTCGAGGATTGCTTTTTCACAGCAAAAACCTCTTTCTTCCGGAGCGCGCCCAACAAGGTCCCTGCCAAGGTAACAGCTTAAAAACTAGTGAGAAGGGCTGTGCTGGGCAGGAGGTGGGGGGGTTTGCTGGCGAGGGGAGATGTCCGTGTTCCTGCACGTTTGGCTGCAGGTGCTGCCAGAATTAGCTTGCAGCTGGAGTCAGGGCAGAGCTGCTGGCGGGGAGGAGGGCTCTATCTGCCTCTTGCAGGCTCCCCGCTCCCATGCAGGGGGTCTGCGCTGCTGCGGATTTTTCTCAGCCATGTCTCAGCCTTTTGCATGCCGGGTTGGCCCCTTCCCGGGGGATCCATGGTGGAGGAGCCGACTCCATATGTGTTTTTTCAGCTTTAGGGGGGCAGGCAGCAACCCTGCCAGCTGTCATCCATGGGTCAGGCGCTCGGCCAGGGACCTGTGGTTTGGCCGTGCAAAATATGCACCATTGGTGAAAATTGCACCTGTGAGGTGGGTAGGGAGGTGGGAAAGTTACAGGACTAAATTAATCTGTGAACTTATTAACGCAGTGATGAATCTGGTCCTTTTCTGGGCTCTTGGGTGCATGTGTACCTGCCTTGGAGAAGGAGAGAGCGCTTGGCTGGGCACTGTTTCCCCCCAGGATGAGATTTCTGTATCAGTAACACTGACAAGGCTGCTTCGTGTTTTCGGTGGGTAGGGAGGTGGGAAAGTTACAGGACTAAATTAATCTGTGAACTTATTAACGCAGTGATGAATCTGGTCCTTTTCTGGGCTCTTGGGTGCATGTGTACCTGCCTTGGAGAAGGAGAGAGCGCTTGGCTGGGCACTGTTTCCCCCCAGGATGAGATTTCTGTATCAGTAACACTGACAAGGCTGCTTCGTGTTTTCTAAGTGTTTATTAAAAAAAAAAAAAAAAAAAAAATCCATCCGCGTCATAAACTTTGGGGCCCCAACCAGAACTGAGCATAAAAGGAGAAGGCGAGAAGGCGCTGCTGCGGAAGTGGGGGTTTCGCTCAGGAACAAGAGCCCTGCGGGGCCCAGAGATGAGATCTGGCCCGGGGAGCAGCTTTTTCACTTAGAAATTCCCCTGTAAACCATCAGCGCTGACGCGCTCCCGTTCGGGCTCTGCTATATTTGCACACCCGAGGCTGCTGAGCTGCAATCCTCAGCAGGTGCTTTGGGGTTCAGCTTTCTGCAGTACGGGATACAGAGGTTTCTCCCGGCGACCTGGACTGTTCTCCTTGGGGGTGGGGTTGCTCTGGGGGAGAGTTTCAATCAACTGACGATTTTATTTTAATTTCTTTGAAGAAATGCTCCCTCGGGTTTAAGATGGGATATTCCCTGTTAGCCAGCAGCTCCCTCTCGCTATGATTAACCGACACGTACTGCTGGTTTTTAAATGTCATTTGATGATTCATTTGTGTAGGAGATGTAAAAGACCATGGTGTTAGTGCAATAGGCGCTGCACCCTGCACCGGTTTAACGCTGTTCTTTTTGAGCCAGGGCACTGCAGATCCTCGGCTACCTTTCGAAATCAGCCTGATCACGTTCGTGCTCAGGAGCTCTCCCTCGCAGAGGAGTTGGGGGCTGCTGCAGCCCCTTTTTGCCCGGCTCCTCGCCTGGATGCAGCCAGTGTGGGCGGCAGACCTTGCGGCTGCTGGAGAAGATGGAGCCTTTCGGGGGTTTGGTGTTACGGGGAGGAAATGGTTCCTGTGCATGAAAAAAACCAAAAAAAAAACCCCCCCCACACAAAATTTGCTGCTCAAGTAAATTATGTTGCATAATGGGTCTGTGTGCAGAGGTGGGTTGTCACATTTCTCCGGCTGGGGGTGGAAACCATCCTCAGGGCTTGGTGGGAGAAGGTTTTTGGGGGTTCATGGCATGCTAGGGGGTTGGTGGTGGTGCAGGTCCTGCAGGAGCGTGAGGCTGGACCTCAGCTCTGGATGGAGCTGGCCCTGGAGTGTGGTGGGGAGGAGGAGGAGGTGGTGGTCTGGTGAGGCCAGGCTGGACGGTGGGTGGAGGGCGGCGAGAAGAGCGTGTGCCTGGGGAGCAGCCGGCAAAGCAGAGGGACAGGCGCAGCCCCAAGGAGGACATCTCCCTTGCGTTTTGTTTCACTCCCTGTCCCTGCTTTTTCACTTGGTGTCTTACTCTCTTGAGCGATGTTATTGAATGTGGAACGTTTCCATTACCGCAAGAGCTGCGTGCGGCAGCAGCATTGCTTTTCACCACCAAGTATGGTACCTGCTCCTGGCCACGGGCAGAAAACATCAGCTTGGACCCAAAAGTGAGTTAACCTGCTGGGTGTGTTTGGGAACGGCAATGTTTGTCCATCCTTAGATGCCCAGGAATGATTCCCGAGCCCAGGATGCACAGTGTGGTCAGCGCTGCAGCAACAGCAGCCACCGGCCCGTGGGTATGCTCTGCGCTAGGCAGGAATAAGCTAAATACCGATAACTTCGGGAGGCGTGTCTTAAAAGACCTAGGAAACAATCTCTGTAGAGGAAATGTGTTGTATGTGGGGTAGGAGGAGACAGACAGGCCTCCCACCATTTAAAAAAATAAAGAGTGGAATTTGATCACTGTGATTAGAGAAACGATTTTTCTGATTGAAATAACTGTATTAGTCTGAAGAATCTCTTTCTAGGAATTTTGTAATTCCTTTTTATTTTCAAAACCGTCAGCGCACTCACTCTTCATTAGCAAAGAACTGTTTTAGATCTCAGATGTGACCTCATCCCCGGAGATCTATTACTTGGCATTTTCGTGACTCCTCAGCTGAATGGCTTCAGTGGCTTCTGCCTGAAGCGTGATTGCTTAAAACTCTGCAGAATTGCTCTTCGAGTCCTGCATCAGTGGCTGCCAGGAGAGCCGGCTTAGAGGAGAAAGGGGCAAGTTTCTGACCAAGAATAGAAAACACAGGAGGGACAGAACGCAGTTTCACCCGGGACAGGATCCAGAGGTGGGATCCAGGGGTGGGGGCGATGGGGCCAGTTCCCGGGTAGGGGTCCCTGAATGATGTGAGCTGGGGTAACCCAGCAGGCAAAAGCCTTCTCTGCTGAAGAAGAGGGAAGCCGTGCCATCTGGGGGTGTTTGCGGTGGGATGCACGGGCGGTGTTGCTCTGCTACCAGGTGCCGGCAGCTCCGGGGCTCGGAGCAGAGACCACCCTGGGGAGGGGGGGGTGCTGTGCGGGAGGAGGCTCTGGAGGGGGTGGCCGGCGGGGAGTTACATGAACTTGGGCAAGAGTCAGAGGACACCACAGTGGTGGGTTTGGCTCCGTGTCTGTTTTCTCCCTCTCTTTGAGCCCTCCATGGCGGCAGCACGCGGTGGTGCCTGCGATGGGGGCTGCATCGCTGGAGGTGCTCGAAACACAAGCAGGGGCTGGATGAGGTGATCTCCAAGATCCCGTCCAGCCTTGGAGAAACCCCGTAGTCCCAGAATTGGCTGGCCATTGGGTGCAGCATCTGTGCTGGTTCGTGGGTTGCAGGTATGTTGCCTGTGCTGGGTGGGCGAAGGGGACATCGCTCCGCCTGGTGCAGCGCATGGTGCAATGCAGAAGGAGCCAGAGCCAAGGGACCAGTGCAGGGTCCTGTCCTTGGCCCGTTGTCTCTGCCCTCCAAAGGACTGTTGGAGCACGGAGTGATTTCCAGAGGGGGGCAGGTCTGCAGGGGGCCTGGCGCAGCCTGGGGTGCAGGAGTGGCCCTGGGGCACCTCTCCTGGGGGAAAGGGGCTTCTCCTGGCCCTGCGAGGCTGCGATCAGTTCCCAAATGTCTGCTCCTGTTGATCAGTGGATCCCTCTGATCCACCCAGTCTCCCTGATCCAGGCCGGGGTCTCGCCAGGCTGGTCTCTGTGCACACAGGCAGTGGGGTGGTCAGGCATCTGTGGGGTCTCGTCCAGCCCAGACCCCCCTGAGATGGAGCTCCCTGGGAGGAGCTGCTCAGCTCTTGCTGCTGAGCAGGGATGTGGCAGGAAAAATGGTTTCTAAGTGAAATCTCCATGGCAATCAAAACACCGAGCCCATCTTCACTTGCCTCTAACCTCTCTGAAATGCAGCAACAATCCTTCTCCTCTTCTCTAGAGATGCACTGCTCTCCTATCTTTTGCCTTTTCCTCTGAACCCCAAAGTAAACTGCAGCATCTCATTTGAACTTCTCAAAAGGAGTGAAATATGTATTTATTTTTTTTTTTCCAAATCTGTTGTATGATTCTTCCCCCCACCCATCCGTGCTTGAGCAGTCGATCCTTTCCCCATATAGTGCTGTGAACCATGGGAGTGTGCGGTGAAGGGGGAGGCGCTGGGTGCTTTGCAGCGATGGAGAGCTGTGCAAGAGCAGAGGTGTCCCCGCGCTCTGGTGACTGTGATCAGGCTGTGCGGTGCTGCCCTGGCCCCACGGCCCCCCACCTGTCACTGCTCCCTGCTGCAGCTGGATTTACAGTTCTGAGCTGCCGGTTCTCATGTTTCTGGCTCAAATTTGAAATGTTCACGTTTCTCTCCAGTCCTCTGTGCTGTGGTGTGATGGTGGTCCCAGGGCGTGAGCTGGTGATGCTCCTCTGAACCACAGCTCCCTGGCCAGCAGTGCTCGGACACACTTCTCCAGGCTTTGTTTTCTGATGTTTTAAGACAAATCTTTCCTTAATAAGCGGAAGAATTGAGGATTGATGCCCTGAGGTGTAAAATCCCTTCAGAAGGCATCTTCAAAATACTCTTGCAATCTGAACATGGGAGCCTAAGGGAGAGCTTGGGCTACATTTTTGGGAATGCAAATTGTCACAGCATTGCTGATGTAAATGGTGATGGACCTGCGCCCAAGGACACCAGGGGGGACTTGGCCGCTCCTGCCTCTAGATAAGATGGTCATTGCCAAGAATGTGGTGATGTTGGGCCAACATCCATCTCCACCGGTCTGCTATTCAAGTTCATTAACTAAAAAGCTGGTGAGGAAAATTGGCTGGGAGTGAGGGGGCAGGGAGAGCATCTCTGAGGCTGGTTTGTGGCTGCGGGGAGGCGGCCCTTGCTCCAAGGAGTGTCCTGTGGAAGTGCACGCTCAGCCTTTCTACCTA